TACCCGACCTTGGGAAAGAATACACATTTGACAGGCCCCGTGTCTGGAAAGTACTGGTTAATTTGCGTAGATGCTTTCGCCAAATGGGTTGAAGTTCAATTTTAACACATATTAATTCGACGAGTGTAATAAATAATCTGCGTAATTATTTCGCTAGATTTGGTTTACTTCGTTACATTGTCTCAGAATACGGTACTCAGTTTACTTGATCTGACTTCAAAACGTTTCTTTTTAAAAATAATATAAAACATTTTAGATCGGCACCTTATAGCCCCAAATCGAATGGTTTGGCTGAGCGTTATATACGTACGATAAAAACGTGTTTCTATGGACGGAGAAGTGGGACTCCGGACCAGTTAAATTTAGCGAATGTTTTAATTACACACCGAAATACTCTAAACGCAACTACCGGTAAATCCCCTGCCGAAATGATGTTTGGAAGGCCGTTCAGGACGACGTTAGATCAATGGAAATTATCTACGAGTGAAATGAAAACGCGTTATGGAAACAAAAAAATTATAATGATAGGAACGTTGAGCCCCCTTAATTTAAAGAGAAGCAAAAGGTTTGGGTAAAAAACGAAAGGACTGCGAGATGGCATGAAGGAACAGTGGTTCAACGGGAAAGTGCGATATTGTATGATGTTGAGTCTGAGGGTATTGTAAAAAACAAGCATGCCGACCAACTGAGGGAAGCTCATGTACAAGCTAAAGAAAAACCCATAACAATAACTGAGGATTTGGACATTGCAGAACATAATGGAAATACAACTTTAGAAAAAAGAGTTTCGAAACCCCCATTACGTTATTATGATGAATTCAATTTATAGTGGGGAGAACTGTAATGTATTTAAATAAATTGATTTTTTATATTTGCGTAAAGCTACAATTTATAAAAATTGAAAAACATATATATATATATATATATATATATATATACTGATAATATTAAATTAATAGTACTCATTAAATTATTTTGATACATTTCGATACATTTCACCCATTATACCACTAGACTGCTTTAAAATATTTTACGGCTAAATTCAATTAAATTTCCTTTTTAAAATATATATTAACCATATTATCCATATAGACTAGCTACGATCTTTCTAACTTCACCTCGTGTTAGCTAATTTCAGAGGGAAACAAAGGGTTCCCAAAAATAGTTTCCGACGTTACTTGAGCCATCAACCTTTTACCTCAATTAACATCTCTCAACCTACTAACTCACCAACTGCTATACAACATTTTTTTTTAAATATATTTATTGGTTATTTGCTAAATGACAAAAATGATCTCAAATTGTAAATAGAATTACTTCATTACTTGAGGTACTTATATTGTTCTTAATAAAAATTTGTGTGAGTATTACATATTGGCTACGCATTATCTTTCTATGGATATTTTTATAATGAAGTTTGGCCCCGATGTGAATAAAAAATTAATAATTTTGAAAGAAACTTTTCCCTTTTTCGAAGCATTTGATAAATTTATTATATTTATATATTTTTATCCAGTGTCATTTTAGTCAGGAGTAGTACTTTTGCCCAGTCAGGCGCATAACCAATGGGGGGGGAAGGGGGAAATTCCCCCCCCCCATCGCAAATTTGACTATTTTCATAAATATTATTTTAAGTTAATAAAAATTTTACCCCCCCCCCCAACCCCCCCCCCCCCTTCCCACCAATCAAAATTTTACAAATATTTGAATATCAATTTTCCAACATATTATTCAAAAATATTAATAAAATGGAAAAATATTTAGTCAAAGAGATTGAAATCAAACGATAATTTATAAATAAGGCTGAGCATGAAAAAAAGTAATGTGTCGTCAGCAGCGATATCATTATTGAATTCAATTGATCAATTAGAGTTTATCATTGCTGCTAGTTGCATCAATAAATTATTTTTAGCTCACTACTTTGTAGAAATTTACAAAAAATTATAAAATATCCATTTTCATCCCATTCTTAGATACTTTTTTATTGCAAATAAAAGTACGGGTTTTAGATAAAAAACAAGTCTTTAGCAATCTTCAAGTTTTATTACCCAAAGATCCTTCTTAATTTTCTAATGGCACTATTGGTATAATTAAATATTTAGAAAAATTTTATTCCTATGAGATTGATACTGAAATAAATTTAGTCAGTGAATTCGAATTGTGGTATAAATATTTATACGTTTAGCTATTTTACCTGAGCATGCTATTGATGCGCTCAATCGGTGTAAAGAAACCTTAGCTCAATTTCCTAATATTTCGAAGTTGTTTTATATTCTTGCATGTTTGCCTATTACAACATGTACGAATGAACGGATTTCCAACTTGAGAAGGTTGAAAACATATTTACTAAGTACTGAATCTCGCTTAATGGGTTAGCTCTGTTAAATATACACAGAGATTTGGTTCCAACGACAAACGAAATAATTAAAAATCTTGTATTTGATAAGAAGTTAAAAAAACTTGTTAATTTAATTATTTTCTAGTCAATATTTTAAACACACTACTATTAGTATTTTCAATAAAAAAATTATATTCTAATTATATTGTATGAGAATTTAAGCTGAGGCTAGTTTTTAAAGCAAAAATGACATTACACTTTATTTCAACTTTACATTTAAAAAAACTTTATTAAATATAATATACCTAACTTGAAATAATAAAAAAGAGGCTTGTAATATCCTATCCATAAGCACAAATTAGTAAATAATAGTTAAAAATAGAAATATAATTATTATTAAATTATCAATAATTTTATAGAATAGCTAAATAAGACACGGCCGAAGGCCGGGGAAAAGCTGGCCGAAGGGTAAAAGGGGTTTGGGGGCGAAGCCCACAAAAAAAATTCTCCCCCCCCCCTATAAGAAAATCCTGGATATGCCACTGTGCCCAGTGTATTTTTATCCGGGACTTTTCTCTTGCCTAAGACATTTCTGACCGATTATATTTGCATCGAAAGGACTCCGTTTTCAAATATTATTTACAATTTTTATTCCAAATGTTTTGTCAATTCTATATAATTCCATTAAAAAAAATATTCAGCGTGAGTTATGAATATGATCAAGTTATTAAAAAATTAAAAAGAAGATACGCTTTGTATTTGCCCTTTCTCCCCAGAACTTAAGGTAATTTTAGATGGATACACTTCTGATTACGGAGATCCAGAGTCAAATAAATTAAATTTTTTTTAGGTCGAAACCACTCAGGTTTAATAAAAGTTAAAATTTTTAATCAAGAGATTTTAATAATCATGAATTTCGAGCTCAGTTCAAAATTTTTTTAACTTTGGACACAAGCCCTGACTAAATCTTTATTTTTATTTAAATCTATGCCCAGCCTTATATTTAAAAATTAAGCCCGAGAGTGCCCCGATTTTTCCAAAAAAAAGATCCAAGCCCCCCAGTTAGAATTTTTTAAAAAATATGCCCCCGAGTCTAGTTCTATTTTTAATACTTTTTACCTGACATTACGAAGGCAGGAACGGGTCATCTTGAAGGGCTCAATAGTAGATGTCATATTGCAGAGTATGTTAAGGGTTGATAATGGCTATGCCATATAGGATTTGCAACTCGGGTACTCAATAATGTTGAGAAAAATTAATATCAGGTATATGCTAAAATTAATATTTTTGGATTTACAAAATTTAGAAAATATTATTCCGATAGGAAATCTGTTATATTAATCAGGCTTCCATAAATTATAATATTATATTAAAAAATTTTTATATATTTTATCAAAACTTTTAATAGATGCGAAAATATTTCAAACCATGTTAAGTTAAAAAAATATTCCTATTCTAAGACTATTTTATATCACATAACAAATTCATTTATTCACACCAAACAAACGATTTGGGTCCAACTCAAGGAAATTATTTTCACCTGCCAGATTTGATAAGATATTAATAAAAATAATTAAATTTTATTAAGAACACTCTTTAATATACTTTACCATTAACCCATGTCTTTTAAACCTTTAAATAACCCTAACCCATGTTTTTCTAACCTTTAATCCTACTTACTTGTTTAACATTTTATACATTTCATCTGATTAAAAAATTTCCTTGAGTTGCAGATTCCTTGAGTTTGGTTATTATCAGGGACGTCACTAGCCTAAACAATCACAAGGGGCTCAAAAATTCTTAAAATTATTTTCAAAATTACCTTTATTTTTACCTAACATTATTCATTTTTTATTTTATTTTTAACTTACCTTTTTTTAGAGGTATAAAAGAAATTTTTAACTCTTCAAATATTTTTGGGGCTTGAGCTCCTCCTCCTAGTGACTCTACTGGCTATTATTCAAACCAACGGTTATTCAATATATAAAAAATGAATATTAATACATATAATTCATGTTGGGTAATTGCACATTACCCAATATTCTATTATACATATATAATCATCAAACATATCTAATTAAAGAATATACTAAATTCATAATATATCAATAATATATAAGCATATATTCATACATATATTTCCACATTATATCAATATTACCTATCACTGTATTATAATGCAATCGTACATGTAATTTCCATATTAATAACTAGCTTTTATTAGATATTTTACAATCAAATTTATTTTTCATTTATAATAACTATCTTATTAAAAAGTTATTAACTTTTGATAATTATTCTATTAAATTCTTCTTTGTAGTGATATATTCTATGGGAGTGGAGGTGTGTAAGGGAAAATTTTTTATTAGCATAAAATGATATTTACGAGAACAGTCAAATTTGCGATGGTGAGCTGGTCTCTCCTACTTTGGTTAAGCGCCTCAATCTCAATATATGCATGGTACATAAAAATATTCGATGGTTGGTGATAAATAAGAGTTTTTCAGAAAATTATTTTTGTTTAGACTTCACAGAACCCGTCAAAAAAAAATGTTTTGTCTATATCTTATAACGTATACTCAATAGTAAAGCCAATCTATGTAAAAGATATTTCAATAAATGAAGCCATTCATTCATATATTGATTATTATTATTATTTTAAAAGGCGTACATGGGATTAAAAATAATTTAAAATAACATGTGATTAATCAAATTTAAAACTTTTATATATTCCTTATAATTATAACATGGAAAATAAAATTCTTATTCCTGATAGATTTGAGTTAGAAAGAAGATTCACGCAAGTTTTGGTAATTAAAATCATATTTTTCTATATAAATATACTATATATATAATTGTTTGACCTGGCTAGTTAATCTTTTTAATTCTATATAATATTTCCATTTCATACTTTTTAAAAATATACATTCTAAATAAAAATCACAAATTTAATAATTACATTCCCTTAAAAATGAATCATTTCCATTATTTTTTATTTACATATAAACTTCTTTTTTTTGGGAGGGGGGGGGGGTCAGCTATTAAGATAAATATTAATACCCAAATAAAAAAAATTATGATGTAATATTTTAAAAAATGAATAATCACTTATATTTATATGAAACAAATGAGAGTATTTATTTAAGTCTTGAAAGTATGCAGGGCCATAGCCAGAATTTTCCATCTAGGGGGCCAACCATTTATTTAGGGGGGGGGGCATTATTTTAACAAATAGTCCCTCGTAGAATTTTTTTGCTATTTTTATTACAAATTTGTAAATAATGATTTTTAAATTTAACATAAATATTATTATTTTCCATAAGCCATAAATGCTAAATTTTGTTTATGTCAATCTTTCATCAATTCTCTACTGTTCCATAGAACTCTCTTTATTGTAGATAATGAGACCTCACAAAAAGCCATTGATTTACGATGATAGCTGCTGAGTAGCATTTATACACTTCTTTAAATGTAATATAATATTTATATACATAAAATTTACAATATTTTCAAAATTATGTTTCTTAACTTCTGCAGCTATAATCATTTAGCTATCTTCATTTAATGATTTAACAATATCTATATTTAAGTTTTATAATGATTCTAATAGGGTCATTTATCTGATATAAAATAATGAGAGTCAAAGGGGACAAAGTATTACAGCATGATGGAAAATTATAATCATATAGTGTAAATCTATCTAAAAAATGATCTACAAAGTAATCAATAATTTTTTGTTAAGAACTCTAAAAGTCCTTTTCACAATCAAATTTCATTTTGGTATTGACTAAATGATTTGTAAGCATTTTACATTCCCTTGATAATTTTTGAGGGATGAAATTAAATTTTATTAAAAGTTTCTCAGCCTTAATTCTTATCAAATCAAAAGAATTATCACTTTTTCTATTTTTTAATATATTAATTGTGGAATCAATACAATTTTTAGCATCCACTATATTAGTACCTACTGACCTTAGGTAATTATTTAGTTGATCTATTGTTATTAATGTCTTATAAATTAAAATAGCCAAATGTAATTTATATTAATGCATTGAGTTAACCAGAGGCTTGGACTATGAGTTCTATTAGAAAAGTAAAATAATACTTCAATAGCCTCAAAATTCTTATAAATGATGCGAGATATTTAAATGATCAGTCCTCCTCTTCTCTATAAGTTTCTTAAGAGTCTGGGCTGTATATTTACAGAATAAATTAAAATGCCTAAAATAATTATACAATACATTTGATAGATTAAAAAATTAGAAATGATAACAATATTATTATACTAATTTTGAGCTACAAGATGGAACTTGTGGTTGTAGCAATGTATATAAGGCACTTTTTTATTAATTTTTTTTTGAAGCCAGGTTTGTACTCCTCCATTTTGGCCAGAAATGACGTTTGCATCATATGCCTGTCTTATTATATTCGATAAATTATTTTCATCAAGTTGCTTTAAATAAAATACAATTAGTATTAATTTCAGCAGAAAGAATTAATGATTCTTATTAAATTTTCTTGGATTTCTCCACAAAAAATATAACAAATAATTATGCTCAGGTTATTACAAGTTGTTTATTAATTTGTATAAATTAAATAATATTTTTCTAAAATTTTGTTGTATTTTCATTTACATTTAATCGTTAATGATGAATTAAAATTTAATAATTGTTTCCCCCCCCCCCCAAGAAGTTTCTGAAAGAAAACCAATCCTCACATCAGCGCAATCATGAAATTGTGAATAAAATTTTTAATGTTAGTTATAATTTAAGGGTATTGACATCTGGCTATTTGCTCCTCACTTCTGATGCTACTGATAGAACATTGAACTTAAATAATGTTTTATTTAATTGTTTATAAAATACCTCTTAATTAAATATTATTGTCTATTTTTTTTTTTTTCTCTTTAGCTTTCACCTTTTCTGGTGGTAAGCTCCTTCAACATCTCTCTCCACTTTATGTTATTCGTACAATCTCTTTTATCTATTTTATACTTCTTTATATTGGCTCTAACTTTATGACCCCATTGAAGTTTTGGCCTTCCTCTTTTACGTTTGCCCATCACTTCCAATCTTTCAACTTTATTTCCTATGTAGTTCATAGGCCTTCTCATTGTGTGCCCATACCACCTAAGTCTGTTTACCATTAACTTAGTCTTAATGGGCACTACCTTTAAACTATTTAGTATTCTTGTACTGCGCACCTTATCCTTTCTTGTTACCCCAGCAATCATCCTCAGCATTCTCATCTCCATAGTTTGTAGACTTCTCTCGTCTGATTCTTTGGTTGGCCATGTTTCCGAACTATATAGAATAGTTGGTTGTACTATGGAACTGTAAATTTTTCCTTTTAATTTGTGTGGGATTCTTTTGTCAAATAGCACTCCAGATAAAGATCTCCACTTTAACCACCCTTGATTAATCTTATTCTTTATCTCTTTTTCTATTGTGCCGTTTGTTTGTATAGTGGAGCCCAAATATTTGCAGCTTTCAATTGCGGATATCTGCCAATCATTTATATCAATACTCTCCGTTTCATCTCCTCCTATCACCATATACTCCGTCTTTTCTCTATTTACTTTTAATCCGTGCGTTTCTAGGATATTTATCCAATTCACTAACCTTTCTTTCATTTCATCCTTGGATTCGGCAAGTATCACAATATCATCTGCAAATATCATATTCCACGGGACTGTTTGAGGTATAGACTGTGCTAATACATCTATTACTGTAATGAAGAGAAGTGGGCTGAGAGCCGACCCTTGATGAACTCCTTCGGCTATTGTGAAGCCTGCTGAAGTACCTGTTGTGCTACGGACCATTGTTGTATGTCCCATATACATATCCTGTATTATTCTTATATATTTTTCGGGAACTTTTTTGTGGCGTAGCGCCCACCAGATAAGTTTTCTTGGGATTCTATCGAAGGCCTTTTCTAGATCGAGAAAGACCATGTGTAGCTTTTTGTTCTTTTCCCTGTATTTTTCACTCATTTGCCTAATTGCATGGATAGCATCGGTTGTTGATCTTCCAGGCATAGAGCCAAACTGTGTCTCTCCTATTTCGATTATATCTCTTAATCTTTTTTCTATTATTTTTTCGTATAGTTTTAGACAGTGTGACATTAGTTTTATGCCCCTGTAATTTTGACAATTGTGTGGATCCCCTTTATTTTTGAAGATAGGAACTAGATAGCTCTGCCTTCATTTTTGGGGGACCTCTTCATTTCCAAGTATTTTATTGTACAGATTTGTGAGGAGATGTATTCCATCATCTCCTAGTGCTTTAAGGCTTTCTATTGGAATATCGTCTGGACCCCTAGCTTTGTTGTTTTTCATATGCTTGAGGCATGTGATTATTTCTTGTTCTGTTATAGGTTGTACAAGGTTTTGACAAGGGGAGTGTTCGTCGAGATGCAATATATGGGAATTAAAGTTGAGAAGCTCCTGAAAATATTCTTTCCATCTATTCATTATTTCTTTTTCCTTTATTATCAATTTCCCATCTTTATTTTTGATTACTTTCGGAGCTCCGTTTATATCCCTAGAGTTCTTTTCTCGCTGTTTGGCTAATCTGTATATTTTATTTTGCCCTTCTTTGGTATGTAGATCTTCGTACATGTCATCGTATGCCATAGATTTGGCCCTAGCCACCGCCTTTGTAGCTAATCTCTTGGATTTTTTGTATCTTGACTTGTCATCTGCATTTTTGGATTTGTACCATATTTTATAAAGGGCTTTTTTCTCCTGTATAGTGGTTTGTACCTCTTGATTCCACCACCATAGTTCTTTGTGTGATTTGTTGCCTCCTCTTGTCAAGCCTAGCGTCGATTTTGCAGTGTCTATTAATCTGGATGAAAGGTCTGTCCATATTTTTTCACTGACTTGTGAGCAATTTATTGTTTCAATGTTTGCATTGATTGCAAAGGCATCTGTCATTGTTTTTAATTTGCCCCATTTGATGCATGGTTCCAGTTTTATCTTATTTTGAGTGGATTTATTTGAGATTTGTAAATCCATGATTAGTAGCTTTTGTTGCGCGGCGATATCTTCTCCTGGGATGACTTTGCAGTCTATTACATCTTTTAATCTTCTGCGAGAGATTAGCATGTAATCTATCTGTGTTTTCCTAGTACCACTTTCATATGTTATTAAATGACTGTCTTTTTTCCTATAGTAGGTGTTGGTTAAGGCAAGGTCGAAGGCTTGCGCAAATTTCAGTACGTGCTCTCCTTCATCATTTCTTTCTCCGTATCCAAAACCACCATGATGCCTTTTGTAGCTATCTCTTGCTTTCCCCACATGCGCATTTAAGTCACCACCAATTATGACTAGGTCATCCTTAGGGATTTCCATTACGGCTTCATCAAGGATAGCTCTAAAATCATCTTTCTCTTCTTCCTTGCAACCCGTTTGAGGAGCATATACTGATAGGATGTGTAGTATTGATTGACCAATGCAGAGTTTTATCTTCATTAGTCTATCAGAGATCCTGTTGACTTCTACAACTGAGGAGGTTAGATCTTGACTGAGGATGATGCCGACACCGTTCCTATTGCAAATATTATTGTCTATATTTAAACATATTTAAACAATTTATTAAATTGTTTACATTCTAAAAATCAGGGGCTCGAACTCAATAAAAAAATTAAATGGGTTCGGTTTAATGTAAAAAAAATTAATTGGATTTGGTTTAGAAGAATATTTTTGAACCGGGTTTTGTTTCGTGTTCATCTTGGGTTTAGTAATATTTGAATTTTATATAATTTTTTTTTTATATATCTATTTAAATCATAATTAAAAAACTAGACTGGTATAAAAAATAAAATCTTTATTTTGTTTATAAGCAAAATATATTAAAAAATACAAAGCATAGTAATGTATAAATTTAAAAAAATTTATTTAAACATATTAGCATAATATCTTCCAAGTGTTATTCGCTCCCTCAATCTTTGCAGTGAAAGAATGAATTTCAAATGTGAAAAAGATCTTTCAACGCTAACCTTAAGGATTTATATCGTTTATATTTAAATAAATTGAAAATATTAAAATATAAAATTCATTGGATCTGATTGAACCCGTGTTCAAAAATTTTGTATTTCGGGTTTTACAATTTTAAAAAAGGGTTCTAGTTCGGTTCTGGTTCAGATATTTTCAAAACCCTAGCTTTTTTGGTTTAGGCTCGGTCTAACCTCTGCCAAAAATATAAATTATTACCAATATTTATAACCATCTAAAATATTATTTTCTTTTTAGTCTTATGAATTAAGTAAACCACTGAACCATTATTATTAACTAAACTCAAATCAAACTTAATCCATTAAAATTTTTACTAACTTTACTTGTACTTAACCTCTAACCTATGACCCATGGATTTTTTAACTACTAACTGTTTTAAATATTATTATCAATCAATTTGACTGATTAGTAATTATTGCCATTTTGATGTTCGTATATCGCTACTTGACAGTGCCAGCTACTTAAATTAGCATATAGAAATATTCTCAACAATCGAATTTATTCTTCCTTACATTAAAGATATTGTTTGATAAATGTAAATCTTTAAAATATTTCATTGTATGGCTCAATATTATATGTTTTTATGAAAGTAATTTTAATAATTACTTATATAATGAATATTGTATAGTTGCTCTAATTTATAAATTAGTTATTTTTGTGCAATAATGAAAAAATATGAAAAAACATAATTCTAATAAGTTTATATTCAAAATAATTTGAACCAGTTTTTAAAGCTTTAAACTGTACCAATATTATACTTTTACAAACCAAATCTTTATTTTTTTCTGAACCAAAACCAGTAATTGTCTGATTTATATCCATAGATCTTTTTAAAGATCACAATAATACATAGGTATAGTAATTAATTTGTTAGGGGGCGGCTATTACTTGCGGTTTTCCCCATAAATTTTATTGAAGTTTTAGGTACATTTATTATAGGCCTTTGGCTATATTAAATATATATACAAATTTTGGGTTTTCACTCTTTTATTATAAAAGTATTTTTTTTCTCTCTAAATTAATATAAATTTTAATTTAAAGTTATTAACTTTTACTAATTTTTCCTTCAAATTTTTCTTTTTTGCGATATATTGTATACATTTGGGGTGGTGGTGGTGTAGGGTAGGGGATTTTTATTAACTTAAAATGATATATATATACGATAATAGGCAATTTCCGAAGGGGGGGGATCCTCCAACTATATATGTATTATTACAATAATATATTTAGTGGTGAAATATGAAAATTTTCATCAGCAACAAAACTTTAGTATGCAATTCATTTAAAAAAATATATTAATCACATTAAGTTTTCCTTCCAGAAAATAAAATCGATAAATTTTTTTTTTATAATTTAAGTATTTTTTATTTTTTTTTGAGCTTATACATGATACATAATTTTTTTAAAATCAAATAAATTTGCAATCATATAATTTATTTAGATGAGTTGTTATAGTTCTGTCTTAGTCCCGTTTCCCTTTGATGATATTCGTTTTATTAATTTTTGAAATAAATTGCTAAATAAAAAAAAATTTTTTTAGATAAGAAACATGAAAATGTAATTATAATGATAATTGTGTTTCTGCTAGTTATTATTATCGGCTAAATAAAGGGGCAAAAGATTTCACCCAAAAAACCTGCAGAGGTCGGAATTTTAGGCTTGGAATTAGAGAAAAATTTAGTTTTCAAACCCTTGTGTAATTTTATGAGGTAAATAATGTAAATAATCTGTAGGGTGCTAAAAGCTCCTACAAACCGGAGAGCTGATGGGGCAGCCTCATAGAACCGCCAAAATTAGACTATTTTAAGGGCCGTATCTTGTTTCTTATGTATTTGAAAGTAAATTAAAATTAAAATATTGCATAAATTATGCTTAATATTAAATTAAATTCAGTAATTTATTACAAATTATTTATATTTTATTTTACTTTATTATATTACATTATATTGCATAAATATGGTGTAATTGCAGGTTTATGAGTAAAATTAGTTCTTTTTGAAAAAACATGGTAAATGACGTTCCTTTTATTTTAAACGAATCTAAAACGTGAATGTATTCATTTTTTTGACGACACGTTCGTTTTTTACATTCATTCAGTTTCAAATAATGTCAACAGCTGTCTTCTTTAGATATTTCCAGAATCCCTTTATTTTTGATTTCTACTCTGATTTGAAATGGTAATTTTACATTTATAATTAATTTTAGAAATATAATACAGTCGGTATTATACTTAGATTACCTTGGATAAGGCTTCCACAATACGTACTAATAAAAACAAACTTATGTCATATTTAAAGAAGTCATTAGAAAACTTTAGAAAGAGAAAGCTTCACACAACAAAATTCTTAATTTTTAGGATGAATTAGTGGACGAATTTTCTTAAATATAATTCTTATTCATTAAATATTAATTGCAATGTTATTTTCAGTTACTGTCAAACGCGTTTTAGGTACGGAGCTCTCTTACTCATCTGATGAAAATTTTTGAATCGATTATTAGACATTTTAATAGAAAACTTTATTAAAAAAAGTATCTTATTCTCAAGCAATTCGTAAACCTGATCTATAATACCTATTTAGCCAAGTTGCAAAGCTAAATACTCTTTCTACAGGTGCCGATGAAGACGATTTAAAATTAGATCATTAGCCACTTAATGACTTATTATGGATGACTTAAAAATTCTGGTAAAGTTTGTCAAATATTTGCTTTTAATGATTTTTAAATGATTAAAATTAGGAATAAAAGTTAATATTTATATTTCTTCATATGCTTTAGGAAAACTGGGTTATTGTGGCCCTTTACGATTATCGTTGAGTGCACAAGCAGTGCTTATGGGTTTATTATCTTCTACTGAATATAAAATTGTATTTAAAGAGCAATTATCGGAGTTATCATCAGAGTCCAAGATAAAAGTTAAAGATTCGCAATTACTCATTATGTTTTCGTCAAAAATATAGTGTTTAAATTTAAAAATATGAATGAATCATTGCAGTTATTAGCGTTTTCATAAAAATTAATTAAATTATAGAAGGAATTATATATGTAATTATGAATTATAACTGCTAATTCATGCCTGAAAAATGTAATTATTTATAATTAAGGGGAATCAATTACAGTTACTAATTACAAAAAAGGAATTGTAATCCAACCGTGTTTAAAACATAATATCGTTGTTTTTTTAAAAAAATTTTATATGCTATTTTCTATATTTTATATACAAAATAAAATATTTGATCCAACGGCTATCTTGGTTTATTCATTTGATTTTTATTTATAAAAAACATATTATTTATAGATTCGATTGAAGTCATTTATAAATTTGAGCGCGTTTTATTTTTAGAACGTCAAACATATTCAATTTTTGCTAATGAACGAACACAAAATTTCTTATAAAAATGTTTACACATCACTATTAATATTACCTATTTCATATTCAAAGCTGCTTATTCACTAATCCCATTTTGGATGAAGTTTTCTAAATTAGGTGTGTTTAAAGGGTCGCCAAATTTATTTTCGTCCTTAGACGCCAAAAGTCTTTCTTTTTACTCATTTTTTAATATTAATTTATAAAGATAGCCGTCAATATTTGAAGACAACTCAAATAAAGATGAACGCCGATTTTTATTCAATCCACGGGCATTCGACTTAATATTTTTTCTGATGATGATTTGAGTGGAAGTGATAATATAATTGCATCATCTAAAAGTGGAAAGTTATTATTTGAGAAAATCTATTCATTTTTCTTGAGCATTGGTTTTTCGGATAATTTAATTTGTCCTCATAATTAGAATAAATATTTTCATATTCATCAAAAAAATTTATATTTGGTATTTGGCAATTAATAACAATTTTTTCCAGTTAGTCAAACTCGGGACATTTTTCTAAGGGTTACGATATAATGTTAATATGATTTGTTGTTAGGTCTATTAACAAACTATTTAACAAAAATGTGAGATAAGTGAGAATACGAGTTATTTTTCCAATCTGCTCAAATAAACCTAAAAGAGTGAGGTGTGAGAAAACTAATAATGAATTGTAAGCATGAAATCACGAGAATTATGGGCAAAATGAACTGGCAATCATGCCTATGATATTTTTTTATTATAAAAGAATGCTTGTTTTTTTTCCTCTTCTCAAAGAAAATTTCTATAAAATTCAAACTACCTTGAACCTTCCTGAACTGGATTTTATTTTTAGATCATAAAAATACAGAATATTTTTAATTGGGTTTTTCGATATTTTATAAATTTAATATGATGAGCCTTATCATTTTATTCAATAATTTTTATGCAGAACTCGATGGATCTGCCCCCCGACAAAGCACGTTTGTTAAAACAATATGACGACGAGAAGAAATGGGATTTGATTTGCGATCAGGTTTGCTAGTTTCATTTTATTTTTAGGCATATCTCAAACTAGGATATCGTAGTAGATGTGAATTTAATATATTTTTGTAGGCCTAACATATGTTTTATATTTATGTAAATAGGCGTAATCAGATTCAATACCTTAGCTTTTTTTAAAATAATTTAATTTATTAAATAGCGGAATTCCAAATTTTGCCTGTATTGAGGGGTCGAGGTTTTTTTCTTATCCCACATCTGAATAACCGATTGTAATAATAAATGAATGCATTTAACGCATTATCATATGTACTATCTTGACATAAACGTTTAATTAATACATATAAATTGAAATGAATATACGAATAAAATGTATGGATGTTATTAAGAAAATGAAATTGTTATTTTAAACCTTAGAAAATAATGATATAATTATCCCTAAAAAATAATTTAATGATTTTATGATTTAAAGATGCTAGGAGCACCTATGACAGTTAAGATAGTCAATGAAGGCTCATTTTTCTTTAATTTAGAAAAAATATAGATGTAAATTTTTTAATACGACGGAACACCACTAATATTTGAAGCAGCTTCAAAGTTTATATTTTTGAGGCTCCAAAATTATGACGGACTTAGTCATCCACCCCTCCCTCAGTGACGCTACTGTTAATGTGCTGGTTTCCATATATTAAAATTTCTAAACACCATGAAAATTTATCATGATTTTATGTACTTGTTATTAGGCATTGTGGAGAGGGAAAACTCAATTAATGAAATGAATGAAAAAGATATTCAAATTTAATCCATTCAAGAACACAAATGGGCCAATATTTTTAGTAAAGTTGATTCTCGCTTTAATGAAAATGGCAAATCCGTCTACTCAGCCAATTTATTTCACTCTTAGTTTTGAATATTCAGGCAAAGCCCGCAGCGGCATCTCATCTTTCATCTAACAAAAATTCGATCATTCAATTAACTATAATCGATAATATTGAAATAAAATAAATCAATTCTATAAACAACTACGATTTGTTAAAGTTTCTAATCATCATATATATACCTTCTTTTGATCTGGAGGAATTTCAATAGACGAATTGGAAAAAACAGCCATTTAAATATTAAAATTACAGGTGGTTTATACATTGTAATGATTTAGCAGATGATTATATAATTTTAATAAAAATACCAATAATATTGCCATTGTTTCAAAAGGAGACCTAGAAAATAATTATTTTTCAATCTTGTTTCAACCTACTTTCCTAATCGCTTGTTTGTTATTACATGATTATTTTTGTGTCAATATTAGACTTGCTAATTTTTAAACCAATACAATGGTTACAGGAGTAACACCAAATCAGATTTTAATATTTATAGATGAAATAAAATCGAATTTACATATTTTTTAAACAAGAATTAGGATAAGTAGTTTATAGTTTTATTTTGCCACCAATGGTTTCGTGGTTATGATTTTTAAATTTCATTTATTCACATTTTGTTATTATTTGTATTCTTATAGCTAGGAACTAGGAAGGATGATTTCTTTTTAAGAGTACGAAAAAATAACAAGTCGTTATTTTATTCATACTCTTAAAAAGATGACATGACAGTGACACCATAATTAAAAATATCTATTTTTTATGTACGAAAAAAATGGAGAACATTTATTATTAATTTAAAAAATGGCGGTTGTTTATTTTAAACATTATTGCCATAGTAACATCTCATACTGGATAGAGGGGATGGGGCCTCACCATTTTGTACATTTTCGGTCTCGGGTCAATTTCTCTCCCATTAATTTATTATTTGCCAGTATAATCATAGAAAGTTTTTCCGCTCTTTTTGATTTCGAGTTCCGTTTAATTTAAGATTTTACATTTATGCAGGGTTTCTTCTTAGGTTCTCACGTTTCTATGGATTTTATTATACCTTTGTAATAAAAATTTTTTATACTATAATCTCAGACTTCTTTTCTAAAAAGTAAAAAAAATCTTTTTTTCCCCTCCTTTAACTTACAAATTAATAAGTGAAATATTTATTTTTAATCAGATAGTTCGCTTTTGTTGAAAAATTTAAATCCGATTCCTGTTTTTATGCTTTTCTTTTATACATAAATTTTAATTGTGTATTTTATTTTTAAAAGAAAATCTAATCAAGTCATTTTAATTTTAATCTTTCAAAATTACTTTTAAAAAAAATTAATAATTAAACTAGCTCATCATCCTGCTGCAATTAATAATATTTTTTTATATTTAAAAAAAGGGTAATTGTTTTGTTTTTCATTTTTTAACTAAAAAAATAACTTTTTGATACGAAGGAGATTTTATTATGTTTTTTTTATGACTTAAAGAAATTTCAGATGATCAACAATTTCCTTAGGATTTAAACAAATAATTTATGGCTTCGGTCAGAAACGTAATATATTTTAAATTTTCTCTAAATACCATCCCAGGACTTATAGATCAACTCCATTTAAATGAAATATATTAAAATTACAAATAATGGCTAACAAAACGCTTAAAGCTACATTTTCTTTTTTGTCAAGCTTTGTTTTTGGAATTTTCAGGCCGTCGGGTGCACATTTTTTTTTGACAAAAAAATTTAGTTTGTCCGACGACCACATGAACATAAAATTATGATTAATTGATAATGTTTACTTAAACCTGTGTATAAAAATGTTTTTAAATTCTAGACATCTTTTCAAAACTTTTTTTCTTTTCTCAGACCTTGTTTATTTTAAAAAAACATTCGATTTAATTGGTTTCTCAGAACCGATATTATCTGGTAGTAATTGTTAACTTGATTTAGGCCAATTTTTAAGAACGTCCAACTTAATATTTTATTCATAAAAATATTACACAAGCCTGAAGATTTTGCTCACGGATTGCACAAAAGCTTGGCATATATCTATTAGCGAAATCTCTACTCTAGGCTTAAGAAATATTTTTCTGGCTAAAATATTGAGCTAGCCGTTTTTAAAAATCGGCTCAAATAGAGCCATTTAACAACACTAGTTCGTATCTTTTAAATTTTTTAATTATATTTTATAAATATTGTTTTTCAATTGACTAATAAAATATTAATTTAATATTATTTTAAATTAAATCGAAATAGTTTAACTATTTTCTCAGTAATGATAGGAGTTCCGACCAAGTTGTTAAACTTACTTTTAAAAGTAGCGCGCTATCGCTTTTTTGTCAAAAAAGTAGCGCGCTATCGCTTTTTGGTCAAAAAAGTAGCGCGCTATCGCTTTTTTGTCAAAAAAGTAGCGCGCTATCGCTTTTTGTCAAAAAAGTAGCGCACTACCGCATTCTCTACTCATCAAAAAAGTAGCGCGCTATTAGCTACTATTTAAGTAGCTTTGGCTACTTTTTTTAAAAAAAAAATTAGAAATAAATTTGTTTTATTTTTTGCTTATGTAATTGCATAATATATAATACATAAAAATCAACATTTATAAATATTTAAATACACTTAGTTTTGATTATAAAAAATTTTATGTAAAAGACTATAATTTATGTAATAAAAATAACTATTTATGGTAATATTCATTTTTTATTTATTTTGTTGTATTTCAATAATAAAATCATTTCTATACTATCATTCCCAAGCCTAGAGCGACGATCAGAAAGTATAAGTTTCGCCTAACTAAATAATCTCTCAACACTATCACTTGAGGGCAACAGTATTTAATATTATATACATATTTTTAATATAAGAAAAATTATCAAAGATACTCATTTTAGTATTTTTAGTAGTGTTTTTAAATGGCTCGATTTGAGCCGTTTTTTAAAAACAACTAACTCAATATTTTAGCCAGAAAGATATTGCCAAGGCCTTGAGATTTCGCTAATAGATGTTCAAACCTTTGTGCCATCTATGAGCAAAATTCTTCAGGCTTACGTTATTTTTTTTAAATATTGAGTAAGCCGTTTTTGAAAATCGGCTCAAATCGAGTTAACAACATTAATTTTTAGATATAAAAAACGCGTCCAGAAGATTTTCTATTATATTTATATCCTTTATTTCAACAAAATTATCAGTGTAAGTCATTTTTGTAGTTTTAAATTAGGGCATCTCTGTTTGATATGGGACTAGTATATATATAAGATATCTCTGACAACTCTGCTATTAGAGCATCTATCATCACTTCAAAACTATCTGCTATCTTCATTAGTTTCTGATGACATAAAATTGTTGTATTAGGGGATAGTTTTAATCATCATGATAAATGATGCATTATCAATCTAGGACATTGGCTGAGCTATATCAATTATAAAATCGACAATGACTTTATAAGTTAGTATCTGAAATATTGACATGTGCAATATTATATATTATTAATCAATTTAGCTTGAATTGGCCTTTTTGGACGTAGTTTCTCCTATACTAAAATTATTAATGTTTTTCTATCTCTTTAAATCTGTTGGCATGAACATTCTTATAAAATAAATACTATTAGAATTTAAAAATTGTTTTTTGAAGTTATTGCTACTAGATTTATTTAAGGATATATTTTTTTACATTTTAAACAAATAAATTTTAGCCACCTTTTGTTTTTACATTAATTTGAAAATATTTTTCAAATTTTGGTAATGAAAAATGTGTATTATTGTTATCAAGAACATTTTCTTCCAGGGTACCTTCCATTTCATTAATATCATCATTGTCTGACTCATACATCAATTTGGATATCCATTTATGATGACATTTTAAATAATTTACACCAGATGATTTGATTTAGGTTTTTATAATACAAATTGAAAATATAAATTTCAATTACAAAATTAAATAAATCATAAAAATTATAATTATGATATTTAAATTTTCATGTATATAGTTATATTCTTTATATTTTTAAAAAGTACTTAGCGCGCAACTTAGCTACTTTTACAAAAAGGAGCGCGCTACTTAGCTAATTTCACAAAAAGGAGCGCGCTAAAAAAATTAATAATGGGAAAAAAATAGCTCGCTATTAGCTATCGCTACCAAAAAAGATAGCGTGCTACTTTAACAACTCTGGTTCCGACCGCCGGA